ATCAAGACAAATGAAAAAGTGTTTCTGGGCAAGTCAATCTGTATGAAATCTCTCCACTGATGGAGTCAGAATGATTGAAACTAGGCAGTACTCCTATGCCTATCTCAGTCACCCTGGATGGGTCATTGGTGAGTGGTGAATGTGTGTCTGAACTACATTGTTTATCCACACAGCTATGTGTGACTCTCCCTCACACCTCCTTATGGTTGATACCACACTACTTTCATATAGAATACACTATAGAGTACAGGGAGCTTATTTGGACATGGTGCTAGACATACTTGATATGTCCGAGTTGTCTCAGTGAGAGTGTTGAAGTGTACAGTATCATTAACCATCTTTACAGCTTTGACTTTATTACAAAATACAGTATTACATTTTGCTGTGATACCATTACTGTCTCCACTACCTCCACTCTTTTATTTAAAGCTCAGTGAAAGGAGGGCGAAGACCCTCAACCAGTCCTCACTGGGATCAGATGGATTCTTCTCCTATAGAGAAGTACAGAGCTCCCTTGAGGAAGAGGTCTACGAACGAAGAAGAGGCCACTTAAAAGAGGTAAGACAAGATAAAAAAAAAAAAAAAAGACATCTGGGGGCTTTTCAGGCTAATCCCCAAGCACCCTCCCTCCCCCCTCACTGTACCTACTACCCCCTCACTGTACCAGGCCCTACAGGTCCCCACCGGATCCCTCCTGCCTCCCCAGGACCCCTGTCCTCCTCTCAGAATCCCTGCCTGGTTCTACTTTCTCTCTGTGTGTTTAGCATGACAATTCCCTCACAAGTCCATGGCACAGGACAATGCATGTAGCTTGAGTTTGATGTCTTTTAAGCCTTTGACTGGCTCCTGCTCCAAGGTCCCCTCTCCCTGGCTTTGTAATAGGGAGAGCGAGAGCACAGCTCCCCTGGTTAAATCTGCTGGGTTAGTGTGTTTGAAGTTGGACAGGCTGGATGGAGGGGGGAAACAGTCATCTGTAAAGGGAGTGTTGAGTGGAGTGGGGATTTAGAAATAGAAAAAAATGATTACAATGCAAATCAAATTGTATTGGTTGCATACACATATTTAGCAGATGTTACTGCGGGTGTAGCGAAATGCTTGTGTTCCTAGCTCCATCAGTGTATATGTATGTGATGGGATGTATGGACATTATGGACAGTATGTGGATAGAATATATAGTATATCTGAATAATATATAGGATAGAATAGTATATGTACAGCAACAGTTGAATAGGATGGCCTTGACTAGAATACAGTATATACATATGAAATGGGTAAAACAGTATGTAAACATTATTAAAGTGACCAGTGACTCAAGTTCAGGGCAAGGTACTGGGCAGAGGCCGGCTAGTGGTGACTATTTAACAGTCTGATAGCCTTGAAATAGAAGCTGTTTTTCAGTCTCTCTGAACCAGCTTTGATGCACCTGTACTGACCTCGCCTTCTGGATCGTAGCGGGGTGAACAGGCCGTAGCTCGGGTGGCTGAGGTCCTTGATGATCTTCTTGGCCTTCCTGTGACACCGGGTGCTGTAGATTTCCTGGAGGACAGACAGTGTGCCCCCGGTGATGCTTTGGGCAGACCGCACCACCTTCTGGAGAGCCCTGTGGTTGTGGGCGGTGCAGTTGCTGTACCAGGTGGTGATACAGCCCGACAGGATGCTCTCAATGGTGCATCTGTAAAAGTTTGTCAGGGTCTTAGGGGCCAAGCAAAATTTCTCCAGCCTCCTGAGGTTGAAGAGGCGCTTTTGCGCCTTCTTCACTACACTGTCTGTGTAGTTGGACCATTTCAGATTGTCACTGATGTGTACTGCAAGGAACTTGAAGCTTTTCACCTTCTCCACTGTGACCCCATCGATGTGGATGGGGGCGTGCTCCCTCTGCTCTCTGCTGAAGTCCACGATCAGCTCCTTCATTTTGTTGACTTTGAGGGAGAGGTTATTTTCCTGGCACCACTCCGCCAGGGCTTTAATCTCCTCAATGTAGGCTGTCTCGTCATTGTTGGTAATCAGGCCTACCACTGTCGTGTCGTCTACAAACTTGATGATTGAGTTGGAGTCGTGCGTAGCCACGCAGTCATGGGTGAACAGGGAGTACAGGAAGGGGCTGAGCACACACCCCTGGGGGGCCCCTGTGTTGAGGATCAGCGTAGTGGAGGTGTTGTTGCTTACCTTCACCAACTGGGAGCGGCCCATCAGGAAGTCCAGGACCCAGATGCACAGGGTGGGGTTCAGACCCAGGGCCCCAAGCTTAAAGATGAGCTTGGAGGGTACTATGGTGTTGAAGGCTGAGCTGTAGTCAATGAACAGCATTCCTACATAGGTATTCCTCTTGTCCAGATGAGATAGGGCAGTGCGATGGCGATTGCGTCATCCGTGAATCTATTAGGGCAGTATGCAAATTGCAGTGGGTCTAGGGTGTCGGGTAAGGTGGAGGTGATATGATCCTTAACTAACCTCTCAAAGCACTTCATGATGACAGAAGTGAGTGCTACAGGGCGATAGTCATTTAGTTCAGTTACCTTTACTTTCTTGGGTACAGGAACAATGGTGGACATCTTGAAGCAAGTGGGGACAGCAGACTGGGATAGGGAAAGATTTAATATGTCCTTAAACACTCCAGCCAGCTGGTCTGCCTATGCTCTGAGGAGGTGGCTAGGGATGCCATCTGTTGCTAGGGTTAAAGCACACCCACCCCCTACCCATATGCCATGTCCATTCATCTCATATTCACACTGCACATAGTAATGCACAAATGCTACAACTCTCATGTAATATCAACCACCCACCCCATCAAATAAGTCACTCTCTGGACATGAGTGTTTGTTTCAGGGTAGGGGGGTAGGTGTGTGTGGGCCGGAATCAAAGGGTTGCGACTTATTGTTCGTGTCTGAAAAGGAGCTAATGGTCAGCCATCGCTACTCGAGGTCTGAAAGCCGCGGGGTGCCCCCGGGCCAAGTCGCACAATGACACCCCCACTCCTCCCGCGGCGCGTCTTCCTGCCACAATCTGTAGCCAACGACTCGCTCTGGGGGTGCGCATCTGTATCGGTGCGACCGCCATCCACTCTTTTCAATACACCCATCAAGGCTAGTATAAATTCGACTGGATGCATTTAGTTGTTTTTGTAATTTCCTCTGCGTTGTCCTGATTTTATATGGGTAAAAATAGGTTTCTGTAAGTAAATTGCGCGTAAAGTTGTTACTGAAATGTCATAAGGCTGCTTCTAATTTCTAGACTTACTGATCTTTTTCACATGTATTTCTGAAACAGGAGTCATTCTCAGTTTACTGAGATATCCATGTAATTAGGCTACAGCGCCATCACATTATAGGCCTCGTCTCTCCGCCAAAAGGATGGTCCAAACATTGTAAATATGACAAAACATGAACCAACATTCTTTATCGGTTAACTTCACTAGGCCTATATCAAAGACAAACATATAACACATAAGGCCATTGTGTTTTGCGTATAAGTCTAAACCTCAATGAAAATGCATTTAGAGTCGGTTATAATTTCCATTTAACAAATTGATTGATTTTTCCCACAAATATTGATTTTTTTTTACATTTTAATTTCTAACAATTAGCCTAAATATTCAGCAAGTGAAAATAGATGGGTCTATGCTATTTGTAAAAAATGGATCGAATGGGATCCCTCACTTAGACTCGATAATTATTTTGCACATAATTGTCTTTTTAGGCTATAGGCTAAGAAAAATGTATATACTAATATTTCTATAGTCTAATGGATATAAGTTGATCATGAAAATTGAGCATGATCAGCAAGGTTGCCCAAAATTTCTATAGCCTAATGGATATAAGTTGATCATGAAAATTGAGCATGATCAGCAAGGTTGCCAAACATTTCTATAGCCTAATGGATTTAAGTTGATCATGAAAATTGAGCATGATCAGCAAGGTTGCCCAAATGTTGTTAAAAATATACACTCTGGGCCTATAGGCCTACATTTATAATAGGCCTACATTTATAATGAGTGATAGTAAACTATGTAATTCTGTTCTATGTTTAAATGCATCTGCTTGCATGTAGGCTATCCCAAATCACTTTTAATATCAAGGAAAGCTAGTTAAGGTAAATTATTTAAACAAAGTCCACACAACGCTCCATGCATATTATATACTTTGGCTACGTCCTATGTATTTCCTATTTAGTACTGTAGGCTAAATATACTAAATGGGTCAACATTGAAGTCATGAATTAGATATAACTTTTTACTAGATAATTTCCTTTAATTGCTTACAGGAGTTTTGCATATACACCTGAGCTTGAGTTATTACAATTTTATCTCAGGAAGACGAATAGCCTATATTTAGTAAAAAATAATAATAATCAGTCTCCAATGGGAAAGCACGTGCACTACCGTACGCGTTTCTCACGGTCAGTGTTATCCGGAATCTTTGGGATGTCCTTACACTAAACCCTAACTTTAACCATAACCCTTACCTAACCATTTACATTTCAACTTCAATGGGGGGTAAGGACGTCCCAGTGATCCTTGATAGCATGGACCATTATCTCACGGTGAAGGGGGAAAAAATCAAGTTCAGTCGCAAATTCACCATCAGCTGTGTATGATTGTCTCTCCCGGCCAATGGGATGTGAGGCAATTAACATTCCAACACCGGTTGATTAGAAAAAAACTGTGGAGCGGCCATTTCAAGGTGAAGTAGGTGGTGGTGAACTCGAGACTCAATGGACTACAGTTGATGGGTATCTCGCACACAGGCGACAACTGCTTGTATTTCTGAACAGGTTTGTTTCGAGACAGCATGAAGAGGAACTTTCGGAATTGATTTTCGCCCTTTAAGGAATTGTTCAAAGAACGCTTGCATTTGGACATTTTTCTTGCCACCCTCAAGTGTTCAGGGCAGGCGGTTCAGAAACTATTTTATATCTTGCGTAATGCGTATATAGACTGCAAGTGTGTCATTGAATATAGCCAAGTGCATGAACCACTTTGTCTGAGATTCAAATCAAGGAGAATGTCGGAGCGATCTCAGAGCCCTATTTCGGATTGCAACAGCCGGCCTGATGACTTCAGCCGGCCAATGTACGCCCAGGCCTTGAGTCAAGAGGGGTTTGGAGGCACTTCGCTCCAGATCCCTCACGGTGTTCTACAGCACCATAGTCTTCTATTCAACAAGACTGCATACAACGGGATGCCTCCAACAACACCTCAAACCTTTTTCCAATTCCCACCAGTCGGTGGTGACTATAGGGCCTCCGATTTACAAGCCGGTGACTTTTGCCAACCCAAACATTGGTATCCCATCGCCGCTCCCGAGTACACCGGCCAGGTACCGAGGGCTGCAGTGACTACGCAGGCCACACACCTGAGCCCACCCATTGCCGAAGCCAGGGAACAAATGAAGATGCCTGAGATAAAGATTGAGAAGGATGTCAATGACGAGTACGAGGCAAAGATTCAACAGTATCCAACTCCGTCGTCCGCTGTGGCTCACGGGGTTTACTACTCGACCCCATGGAACCCATCGTTTTGGCCCGGCCTTCCCCACATCACTGCTGCAAGTTCCAATACTCAAAACCTTAACGCCATACCCTCAACATCGTCTTCAACATCCCCATCGCTCTCGCCGTCACCCCCCAGTAATGGGGTACCCGGGATCACGTTCAACGGGAGCGCAAGCCAAGGTGCCCAAGCGCAAACCTCTACCCGAAGCAATGGATCCTCCAGCGGTGGGTGCAGTGACTCCGAGGAAGAGGTGAGTCTGAAAATGGGCCTATGTACGGTTATCCCCATGGTCATTGTTGTACTATTAGCCTATGTGTTTACCCTGGAGCCTGTCTATTAATAAATGAAAAAGTAAGGGTTGGGACATGTTTCCTAAAGTCGTTGGTAATTGTGCCTCTTTAACAGGAGAACCCTTCAACTGAGGAGCTGGAACTGTTCGCCAAGGAGCTGAAGCACACGCGTATAACCCTGGGTTTCACACAAGCAGATGTAGGCATGGCTCTAGGCAACCTTTATGGTGAGTTTGTATTATGTGGTGTACACTAAAACTACCATTAGCCTATGTCATAGCTGAACCTTGCCCTTGTGTGCCATTGTGACCTGGTGTATGTTAATAATTATTTGGTCTTTGAACTTACTGAGTGTTCCCTTAAATTGGCTTAGGAAACCATAGAATACCATGTTCCTTGTGTTTGGCACCTACTGTAGTAGTTGCCGTGTCAACTAGGGATTAACATGGGTAACCGGGTTCCCTGGACCATTTCCCGAAAAAATAAAATGACAATACCCGAGAAATGAAATTTCCCCGATATCGCACTAATGCAATTCCACAAAATACATAATGTGCAGCAGCAGATTGTGCCATGTTTCTGTTGCCGTTATCCAAACAGGTTGTCCCATTGACACCTATAGTGTATTTACTTCACACAATCGCCATAAATTCAAAGCACACGCATAACTGACACAGCTGCACTGTACACCAGACCCAAATGCACTTTAGACTTACATTTTACATTTTAGTCATTTAGCAGACGCTCTTATCCAGAGCGACTTACAGTTAGTGAATGCATACATGTTTTTATTTATGTATTATTTTTTATACTGGCCCGTGGGAAACGAACCCACATCCCTGCCGGCCAAACCCTCCCCTACATTGGACGACGCTAGACCAATTGTGCGGCGCCCATGGGTCTCCCGGTCGCGGCTGGCTGCAACAGAGCCTGGACTCGAACCAGGATCTATAGTGGCACAGCTAGCACTGCGATGTAGTGCCTTAGACCACTGCGCCACTCGGAAGTTCTAACTTCTCATTAGAACTGAAAATTCGATCCCGTTCTGAATTAAGACCGGAGCTGAAGCCCGAGCCCAGGACTGGTCCAACATCACAGAAATTAAATGAGTCCCAACGGGTAAAAAAAAGCCAGATTTCTAGAAAACAGTACACTATATTGATTTAAACTGGTGTTGAGAACATTGCGGTGGCGGGCGGCAGCTGAGTGAGGAGACAGGAAACAGCCTTTGGGAGGAGAAAGTGAAAAGGAAAGCTCACCATAGTTATGTTCAACTGAATGGTGATCAACTAGATGATCATTTCAGCACCGTTTTCATTGGGACAGCGCCATCGCGCTGCCTTGAGACAAGCGTGGGCGACTAGTCTAGATAAATCCATTTCAGATTTTTTTTAATTTTATTTTTTATACTTAATCTCCGTTTGGATATTTGGTAACAATTAAGTTGGGGGAAATGTTAGGTAAGTAGAGGTCGGTGCTAATTAATATTTTTATGATAATTTAGTTTGCTCATATTAGCTGATCAGAACAGTTTGCTAGCCTGTTATACAGGTGGATTTTGCACTTCCATCGCGTAGTAGCCTGGCCAACTCCCGACCAAAAGCCAAGGTCTGTATATTTGGTTAATTGATATGTCTGGACAAGTGGAAGTGGTAGCTCATTTATTCGTTTGCTCCTCTATCGCTGATCAGGAACATTTAGCATGCAATAACGTAGCCTAAATCAAGTGTCGTTTATCTATTTACTATTTTCCTGTCATCCCAATCCCACTGAAACCCCAAATCCTGATCCTGTCTCGCATGACAATTCCTAACTTTATTATGTAATCCATAGGTTGCATTATCAAATCACGTCTCGCCTATGCATGTCAAAAAACCGCTATAACATTTCCCCCGCTTCTCTGCGCTTTCTCGTATTGCTGCCTATATGAGAGCTTCGGTAGAGTGATCAACAAACGCTTTTTTTTTTTAGCAGTTGGTCCCGGTTAAGATGCCTTGAAATTTAAACAAGTTCCTCTTCCTCTCCCCGTTATTCATGAGCTGATCTGCTATCTGTAGAATCAACTCGATTTTGCCAAATAGGACGTTTTGGCATTCGTTGGTTATCTAGCAAGCTTAGTGACTTTGGTCACTTGACTTTGTTTGACTGCTGTTTATGATTCGACAACGCTATGGCCAACTCGTGGTGCACCCTGTGTCGAGAGAGCCTAGGCCTTTTATTTATTTTTATTTCACCTTTATTTAACCAGGTAAGCCAGTTGAGAACAAGTTACAACTGCGACCTGGCCAAGATAAAGCAAAGCAGTGCGATAAAAACAACAGTTACATATGGGATAAACAAAACGTACAGTCAAAAACACAATAGAAAATCTATATAGTGAGCAGCCTACTGCTGAATTAATTGAGGAACATAACGCTCTGAATTTATGAACGGCCTGTTTCGCAATTCACAAAAATGTTATTTGCGAGCAGTTACACTCTCATTACTAAATAACAGTTTATCTTGTGAAATCTTTCCATAGTGGTGCAGCAAAGACGTCAATTTGCCTCAGTGACAATCATATTTTGGGAGAATCCTGAGTGACCATATCTTGATTTTAAATGGGCACTTCCGATTTTTGCGGTATTTCCCGGGATAAATATGAATTATTCCCTGTATTGAGACCTGGTAGATGTTCGGGAAAATATTAATCCCTACTGACAATTACTTGTTCTCTGTTTAGGAAAGATGTTCAGCCAGACGACAATCTGTCGTTTCGAAGCCCTCCAGCTCAGCTTTAAGAATATGTGCAAGCTGAAGCCCCTGCTCCGGAGATGGCTGAATGAGGCTGAGACCTCTGACAACCCCCAGGATGTGAGTATTCTTCTAACTGATCTCTTTTATTATTAGATTTGTTTTGTTTAGAATCACTGCTGGTCCAGAGCTAAATCTGGTTTGCACAATGTGTCTAGGATGCCATCTTGTGGATAGAAATGCCTGAACTTCCCATGCCCAACCAGAGTAATATTTATTAGAAAATGTTCACCATTTAAATGTTATCTATTCAGCATTTGATATTTGAGGGGGACCAATAGCATTAAGTCCTCTGGAATGGACCAAAGCACACTGCAATGGCCCAGTCTGAATGTGAGTATGTTTGTGTCCCCAGATGTACAAGATAGAGCGGGTCTTTGTGGACACCAGGAAGAGGAAGCGGAGGACCAGTCTGGAGGGTTCGGTGCGCACGGCTCTGGAGTCCTACTTTGTCAAGTGCCCCAAGCCAAACACCCAGGAGATCACACACATTGCAGATGACCTGTGTCTGGAGAGAGACGTGAGTCCCACACAGATACAGCCTCCCCTCATTTCCTCTCGGTCACCTACTGCACTTTATTTCCCCAAACCTGCATGGCAGTTTAGTTTAAGTTGCTTTTAGATTAAATGGAACGTAAATACATTTATGGTAAATATGCTTTTCCTGCTTGTGTTGCCATGGTTTGAATCTTAGTGCTGTATGTGTTAACTTATCAGACCCTGTCAGGTTCTATATTTAAAATATAGGAAGTGGGGAAATGTTTATTTTTTTTGGGACAGCATATGACTGTTGTGTTCGACAGGTGGTGCGTGTGTGGTTCTGTAACCGCAGACAGAAGGGAAAGCGCCTGGCCCTCCCTTTCGATGAGGAGTGTGAAGGACAGTACTACGAGCAGAGCCCACCTCCGCCACACATGACCCACTCCCCCCTCCCAGGGCAGGGGTACCACCTATCCAGCCACCCCGGGCCCCCCACCTTCTATATGCCCCCCCTCCAGAGGCCAGATGTCTTTAAGCAGGCCCTGCACCCTGGACTGGTGGGTCACCTGACCAGCTAAATGTGTTCCAGTTCTCCAAACCAGCCCTGGCCGTGTGGCCACCTCTTCCCTTCCCCACCCAACATGGCTATTGGCTACCTCTTCAGTCCTCCAGTCCCTCCCAACCCAGGATGTTGTCCTCCATATCCATTCCCTCGAACATGGGGAGGAAAAGTGAATTGAGGCTTGTAGGCGAATACAGTAAATAAATAGATAAAAGCTGCAACTTCCTGGTCTATTTGAAAGGCTGGGGAATCTTGAGACTGCCTTTGTCGGTCTCTGACCCACATGCTCTTTGAGTGTTCATCGGTTTAGGGCCTTACCTCCCACCCAGTTCAGCTACAAGTCATCTGCACAGCACTGAACCAATAAAGCTCCATCCTGTACCATGACTCTAAATTCTGGGGGTACTTTTTGGGGGGCGGGAAATTGGCTCTGAATATCTGCTGTGCGATTATGCTTTTGCACAAAGTTGCGGTTTTGAGTCTGACTTTTTTTTTGATATTTTAAAAATGTGTTTTATTTCTTTTATCTTGAATGTCCTTGTGCTGTCTTATTGTTGCAGTTCCTCCAGCGGTTATCTATTTTATCTATCAGGTGACTTTTATCTACAATTTCTTTAAATATTCTCTGCAGTCTTGTCCAGAAGGTACACTCTCATAGTGGAAGTATGATACAAATGTTTTTTTTGAGTTGTCTTAACAAATTCTGATGTTTTGTTACCCATGGGTGTCTTTTTTGTCTGTATTGCATATGTTGATTAACTGTTTTTAATTGATTTTAATCTAATGGTAGTCATTGCGGTAAGGGGACAAAGTGCAGAATGTCTGATTAGGGCATTGAGTATTGCCCCCTCAACCAGTCTCTCTCACATCTATCCCAATTTACCAAAATCATACTTCTGTTAACATGATCATCATGGACCTGTATTGTTAATGGTTGTCACTGTTACAGCGCTGACTACGTCACCACTCTTATAATAGATTTGTTTTGATCGAGTCTTTCTAAAATGGCTATCCCGTGCAGTCAATCCCATGCCTTATTGTGTAGTTGAAGTCATTTCATCTTGTATGTGACTCCAAATCTCTTGACTAGATGTTTTTACACAATCCCATGTTTATAAATGAAAGCATATTTGATAATTTATTGAGACTGCCTATTTCTCTGGGGCAACCTAAAGATGTTACTTGTAACTTTCGCTCCACACAATTAAATCTACTTTATTTTCCATGCCAACCTGTGTCATAACAACAATTATTCTAACTTGACCATTTACCTTCTGTGCTTTGGTTGTTACAATTGAGGTTTTTATATGGAGTTGTGCATGTTATGATGCTTGCAATGAAAGCCTTGTAAGATGTTAAATCTACACATTATGCACAAGTGTCCTTAATGTTTGTATTGCTGTATTTTCTCTTTTCGTATGACTTCTGCAGTGAATATGCTATTGTACATAAACACAGTATGTGTAACACATTGCTTAACAGTTCAACAGTGCAGGTAATCATGACTCACTGATCTGACCACCCACAAATGTGCAACCACTTTCCTTGTTTTGTTTCTCACACATTAGTTGCATGTGTGAAACAAACGGTGGTTTATTGATTTATTGCTGTAATGTCCATGTGAAAAGAGCTTGTCCTAGAGAAGACATTTACATTTTAGTCATTTAGCAGACGCTCTTATCCAGAGCGACATACAGTTAGTGAGTGCATACATTTTTCATACTGACTACCTTTACATTTGTTTTTAAATGGTGTCCCAAATGGCACCATTTCCCCTTACATAGGGTCTGGTCAAAAGTAGTGCACTATGAGCCCTGGTCAAATGTAATGACCTGTGTAGGGTGCCATTTGGGCTGAAGAAAGTCTGAGGAGCTGCCAAAGTGAAGAATGGGCTTGGTGTCACATCCTGACCCAGGCTTCCAGGTCATGGTACATTTTCTGAGCAGGCAGGCTGTGATACTGGGGGAAGATGCTACATAGCCTCTCCCTCCAGTCTGTATACACTTTCACCTGATATCTATGCCGCTACGCAAAGTACACATCTCTTCTTGTCCAATAGCAGCTGGCGGAGATAGTTTCCCAGCTCCTTAGTGGATGGAAAGTCCTCAACATGGATGAAGGAGTTGGGCGGAGCCACAGCCTTGTAGTCATCTGGCGGTGGACCCAGAACCACAGGTACTGCCCCTGCCTGGTAAGCGTTCCACCAGAGCTTATCAGTGATGTAATCCTTGGAGATGGAGTTCTCAAAGGCCAAGTAGAAGTAGCAGCTTGAGATGGTGGGCAGCAGGTTGCTGGAGGCCAGGACACTCCCCCTCAAGAGACCATACACCTCCACTGGGATGCTTCTCTTCAGGCTCTTGTACACCGAGCTCCTTCTGTGCTGAGCCTCATAGTGACTAATGACCCAGCAGGCCAGAAGGGACTTATTTTGGGGAATGACGTCTTCTGTGCTGCTATCGTTACCAGTATCACAGTCCTTCGGTAGCAGCTTACCATAAGGCATGGTGATATCGGCATCGCGGCGGTAGGACATGGTCCAGTTGAACACGTTATTGAAAGGCTTCAGGTATCCGCTGTTGTCAGGGGACTCCAGAGAGAGCCAGACCCACTTCTGGTGCCTTGGCCGGTGGAGGGGCAGCCGCTCCTGGCCCGTCATCAGCTCTCTGGGGTAGAGAGAGCGCTGGTCCACCAGGCGGCAGTCAGGGATACGGTACCGGTCCCAGCACACGTCTCCCTCCAGATTGTAGGGGTGGCCGAAGGGCCAGTGCCACAGCAGGATGGTGACGTTGTTGTGGCTTCTGTCAGAGTTTGGACCCCACCCACCCTCACTCCCCTGTCCCACCAAAAAGAACAGTAGAGGGGCCAGACAGATGATGAGGAGGAAGAGCCTGAGGCAAAATGAGGGGAATTCCATGGTAAAACTGGACCCTCGTTTGTCATCAGGGTTCTTTCACTGCTGGGAAATGACCAGAGAAAAAAACAGGATTTAGTTTGTTAACCTTGACTCATGGGTAAACGTAACATAGTAAACAAGAATCCGAGACGTTCAAATTAGTATATGTTTCGTATTAATTTGTGGATGTCAATCATCCATTTTGTATGATAGGCTACAGTGCCTTGCAAAAGTATTCATCCCCCTTGGCGTTTTTCCTATTTTGTTGCATTACAACCTGTAATTTAAATTGATTTTTATTTGGATATCATGTAATGGACACACACAAAATAGTCCAAATTGGTGAAGTGAAATGAAAAAAATAACTTGTTTCAAAGAATGTAAAAAAATTAATAACAGAAAAGTGGTGCATGCATATGTATTCACCCCCTTTGCTATGAAGCCCCCAAATAAGATCTGGTGCAACCAATTACCTTCAAAGTCACATCATTAGTTAAATAAAGTCCACCTGTGTGCAATCTAAGTGTCACATGATCTCAGCATATATACACCTGTTCTGAAAGGCCCCAGAGTCTGCAACACCACTAAGCAAGGGGCACCACCAAGCAAGCAGCACCATGAAGACCAATGAGCTCTCCAAACAGGTCAGGGACAAAGTTGTGGAGAAGTACAAATCAGGGTTGGGTTATAACAAAATATCAGAAACTTTGAACATCCCACGGAGCACCATTAAATCCATTATTAAAAAATGGAAAGAATATGGCACCACAACAAACCTTCCAAGAGAGGGCCGCCCACCAAAACCCATGGACCAGGCAAGGAGGGCATTAATAAGAGAGGCAACAAATATATCAAAGATAACCCTGAAGGAGCTGCGAAGTTCCACAGCGGAGATTGGAGTATCTGTCCATAGGACCACTTTAAGCCGTATACTCCACAGAGCTGGGCTTTACAGAAAAGTGGCCAGAAAAAAGCCATTGCTTAAAGAAAAAAATAAGCAAACACGTTTGGTGTTCGCCAAAAGCCATGTGGGAGACTCCCCAAACAAATGGAAGAAGGTACTCTGGTCAGATGAGACTCAAATTGAGCTTTTTTGGCCATCAAGGAAAATGTCTAGCGCAAACCCAACACCTCTCATCACCCCAAGAACACCATCAGCATCATGCTGTGGGGATGTTTTTCATCGGCAGGGACTGGGAAACTGGTCAGAATTGAAGGAATGATGGATGGCGCTAAATACAAGGAAATTATTGAGGGAAACCTGTTTCAGTCTTCCAGAGATTTGAGAGGTTCACCTTCCAGCAGGACAATGACCCTAAGCATACTGCTAAAGCAACACTTGAGTGGTTTAAGGGGAAACATTTAAATGTCTTGGAATGGCCTAGTCAAAGCCCAGACCTCAATCCAATTGAGAATCTGTGATATGACTTAAAGATTGCTGTACACCAGCGGAACCCATCCAACTTGAAGGAGCTGGAGCAGTTTTGCCTTGAAGAATGGGCAAAAATCCCAGTGGCTAGATGTGCCAATCTTATAGAGACATACCCCAAGAGACTTGCAGCTGTAATTGCTGCAAAAGGTGGCTCAACAAAGTATTGACTTTGGGGTATGTCTCTAATTGTTTCACAATTAAAACATATTTTGCATCTTCAAAGTGGTAGGCATGTTGTGTAAATCAAATGATACAACCCCAAAAAAATCCATTTTAATTCCAGGTTGTAAGGCAACAAAATAGGAAAAATGCCAAGAGGGGTGAATACTTTCGCAAGCCACTGTATGTTACGAATTACAATTCATATGATATGTTGCGAATTGCAATTCCTACAATTACAAATTTGCAATACGTATGTTACAAATTCCAATTTGTTGTGACTAACGTTAGCTAGGTGGGTAATGCTAATGTCAGCTAGGTGGCTAACGTTAGCTGGGTTAGGGTTTAAGGTTAGGGTTAAGATTAAGGTTAGGAGTTAGGGGAAGGGTTAGCTAACATGCTAAGTAGTTGCAAAGACGCTACAATGCTAAAGTTGTCCTTGATGAGATTCGAACACTCAAACTTTGGGTTGCTAGACGTTCACATCATACACCCTACCAACCACCCTCCTTTTGTTTTTGCCTTAAGTAAC